AAATTGATGCCCTGGTAAGCGATAGAAAGGTGTTTGCTTGGTGTCATAAAATTAATTAAGACCGGAACCTAATAAGTAAACCAGACACCGAGTATCCGCGAGAGACGCGTCATTTGAGCGCGAGGCAAGGCGAGGAGCCAGCATCCCACGCAACCGTTTTATTGCGGCGTGACCTTTCTGTTTAAAATGAAAAAGATTTTGATCATTCGAAATGTATCTTAAAAATAAAAGCTCGCGTCATCTACCCGTAGAAAGTAATTTACATGATAAACAAATCCAGATCGGACTGCCGGTGATTTGGACGGGGCACGCCAGGGTTAAAAGACATTACGTTAAAGCATTTTATATTTCCTTTGTCACTTTGATAAAATTTTTGAAGGAGCGACCCGTATTTCATGTGGAAATGTGTGACAAAGCGCCGCAAAAACTTGTTTCCAGTGCCGCTCAAATCAGCGTACATGTACGATTTTTTTTGTTTTTGAGGGTCAGGCAGCGATCATGCGATGTAACCGAGTTAAATTCTTACTAATTAATTAATATTCTACCTTAGAATTTCAAAGTTCAAAAGCGCTGTGGTTTTGATTTCGAAACCATTTGAATTGAAGGCGACCGTCGACGGTATGAGTCTTCGTTTCCCATTTCGAGTCTGTCGAGGGTTACAACCCCCAAAAGCATTGGCATGCACTCAAAAAAGAAATATGTGGAGTCCGGCCGACGGGTTTCTCCAAAAATGAAATATTTAGGAGATTTCCTGACGAAAGACGTGGCAACGCGGGAACTTGAACCCGCCAAATCGGCCTATGCCGAAGTGGAATTCAACACGATGCCAGCTACTGTGTACGTCGCTTCCACGTTCGTTTGATCACTGATGTTCTTCGCCAGAATATCATTCCACCGGATGGCCTTGTAAATTCTGTTACGGACTTAAGTTACATATTAGTGATATTAGACTTGAGGTAAGTTTGTTTTTAGTCAAATTATTCCCAATACAGTGAGGTATTTCTGTTCTCTGGTCACTTCAATTTAAAGAAATCATTTAGCTTTATTATTCTGTTTCTCTTCGGTAGTCAGTTTATTTATGGGCTTTTGTTATCTAATGGCAGAATCTAATTTTTATCATACTTATTTTGTACTAACTGGTTTTGTTTCTCTTGGGTAGTCAGTTCATTTATGGGCTGTTGTTATCTGATGACAAAACCTAATTTTTATCATTGTTATTTTAAACTAACTGGTACTGTTTCTCTTGGGTAGTCTGATGACAAGACCTAATTTTCATCACAGTTTTCATTTTGTACTAACTGGTTCTGTTTCTCTTGGGTAGTCAGTTCATTTATGGGCTATTGTTATCTGATGACAGGACCTAATTTTCATCACAGTTTTCATTTTGTACTAACTGGTTCTGTTTCTCTTGGGTAGTCAGTTCTTTATGGGCTGTTGTTATCTGATGACAGGACCTAATTTTCATCATTTTCATTCTGTACTAACTGGTTCTGTTTCTCTTGGGTAGTCAGTTCATTTGTGGACTGTTGTTATCTGATGACAGGACCTAATTTTCATCATTTTCATTTTGTACTAACTGGTTCTGTTTCGGATTATTATTATTATTATTGTTTATTGCTATTATTATTTGAGTGATTTAAAACTATTTTTCTTTGACACAGGGCTATAATTTGCAGCAGGTGATGGAGTGTACACTGATTTGCTTTAGTTTTCTTTCAGAAATTCACATAGAATTTACTTTAGTTACAATTATTCAGCTTGGGTAATGAGATAAACTTTCAGCGACACAATGTGACAAAATTGTTTTAACCAAAATCATGATAACACCATCAAAACGTTTTTATTATTAGTATTATTCGTTAAATTCAAACGATGCTAATATATGTATGTAAAAATGAAATTATCTTGTCGCTTAATTGTTACCGAGCTATCCCTACTGTAAAACGTCAAATGAAAAGTTATTACACTCACATGTCTATTAGTTCTTACAAATGATTTTGTCAATGAAAATCGACGACAAAAAATTCCCTTCTCTGGCTTAATTAAGAAGCAAAAAAATGTGTTTGTAAAACACAACCGAGTCAATTATCGTACGTTAAATAAATCAAAGCATTACTTTAGCAAAATAGAATCTTAGGGTTAACTTCCCGAGATTACTTCAAACCCTCTGGTTACCTTCCCTTCGCCGTGCCCTGTGAGCTTTGCGTTAGATCTCACAATTTATTATTATAGAATCAAGTCGCTATTAAAATGAAGCTGTTATAAGTCAGTTGTAGTTACTGATGTCCAAGAATTCCAAGTGTTCCTGTTTCGGGAATCGTAGTTTCTCTGGGATTAAATCATTCTCATTGAGTAAACATTAATTTATCACAGGTAAGTAAATGTACTTAATTTATCACATCGAACCTCGTTGCTGACGCCGTTTTGTGTAATGTTCCTGCCGACTACCACAGTAATAGACAGAAGATAGTATACTGTTCGATCGACATAATTGCAAATAATTTCATTCCTCCCGTAAGAATGGATTTAGGCCGTCATTAAAATGTTTCTCGGGTGGTAAACCTTAGCTTCTCGTAATATTTTCTGAGTCGGCAAAGGGTTTATGTTTCATTTTCAATTTCTCTTTAGTAACAGATATAAACCCCGCTCTCGTTAAGGTTTGGTTCTTGATCTTCGATTATCCCATTCGAGTGATAGTTATTTCTCTTGCTATCGCCTGCTATAATTATGGTTGTGCGATCAATAAAGAGCGGGGTTTTTTACAGTAGAGCCATGTCTTGAATACTATTTCGCGTGAGAAGTAACAGTTGACGTGTGTCTCCACGCGAGTAAAGCCAACAAATGCGCGTCCGTATCTGGAAAACCTTTTTATTATGTCAAGAAATGTCTTATTTACACGTCTCGTGATTCTCACACCGGGTGTTTTTGGATGCCGGCAAGTGCGAAAAAAGTAATTACCGAGGATTCCAAAGTAACACCTCAGTCGTATGAAGGCGCGAATTGTGATCTCCCGTTTCAGTTAATCATAAGCCATGGGTAGATTCAATCTACCCTTAGCCTAATTTGCATAATTTTTTTTGGTGAGCAAAGCCCGTCATGTTCTGCTCACAAATCCCTTACACACAATCATATAACAACTTCACCCACTCGTAATACAATGTCACCCACGGTATACGCTCCCACAGCGTCTTGTATTTCAGCCTTGCTTAGTCCCTGTACGGCACCTATTCATTTCGGTGACGTATCCGAGACAAACGGCTGGAAGACCGCGTGACCCGAAACGCATAGACCGCGCAGAATAATGAGGACTAGGGACTAGGCAAAATTCACCTGTCAACAAGATTAGTTTTAGGGCGTAAAGTATCCCCTTAGTCTGTAGGGGCGGGCGGGCGTACGAACGGAGGGGTTTACGATGACGTCATAACGAAATCAATAGATTTCCAATTTCTATAGTAATGGAGGTTCCGCTGCACGCTTCGCTATTAATAAGTTTTTGTGCATATTAATGAGGTGACGAAATGTTGAAATGCTCTATGCTTGAAAATCCGCGAGAGGGACGAGAATAAGTCAGCTTTGGATCTTTAAGAATCCTTGAATCCTAGCCGTTTGCAGCCAGGGAAAATTTTGACAAGCGACATAACCCAAGAAGGGGCGACGGAGCGTTAAGTGAAATCGCGACAAGACAACCTCCCTCCGGTCCTGCCAAATTACCACAGTGATAACAAAGCCGAAAATTAGCGACAAGCAAGAGCCATAATGGCTCCCATCATGGCTCTTGCGACAAGAAATTTTGCCATCAATTGGAATACCAAAAAGAGGGTTTTTCGTCAATTTTCCTTGCGCTTCAGAAAACGTTTCAAGGGGACCCTTTACCTTGAAGGTCTCCTGAGGTCTCCCTTGCGCGCGCAGCTCATGCACCACCGAAACATTCAGGGAGGAACAATGTAATCAGCATGCGCGAACTTTTTGCCCCGGTTTTTTTTTTGCACGAAAATAGTTTTTTTAAAAATTGTCGTCCAAAGTTGCAAGCTATGTTTACAACCTTCTCACACCTAAATTTTCTCGAAGAAATCAGTATAGTAAAAAGGACTTTTACGATATTATTAAATTTCCTTGGGTTGTACTGCTCAGGCGCCCATTTCTCGAAAGTACCGGTGAACCGGTGTGTTTGTCGCTATTCCCTTCAAAACAATTTGTAATAAAACGACAAAATATGTTAGAAAATTACAAAGATGATTATAAAGATATTATTATTCTGGCGGATACTTTTTCACAAATACCTCATCCAACAATCATAAAGATATTATTATTTCGGCGGATTCTTTTTCACAAATACTTCATCCAACAATCATTGTTGAAAATTCATTTAGGGTCACCATACTTGAAGGTTCCCTGGTTTCCTTTACTAGGGCTAACGCTTAGAAGGGGTTTACCGGAATTTGTATTCGCCCTCCGCAAGCTCCTTCCTACCTATCACAAACTCTCATCCAACGGTCACTGTTTTCATTTAGTGTTACCCTGGTGAAGGTCCCCTAATTCCCTTTACTAGGGCTAACGCCTAATGGGGGTTATGTGTAATTGTTTTTACCCTCCCCTCCAATCCCCACAAACTTCAAGGAAGAGACAATTTGCAGTCTGGTACAAAAGAGTTCGCTTGATTCATCATCATCAAAAAGCGTCCAATAATTCCCATCATATTGCAGTTGTAGGCTGTGATGGGGGAAGGGGCAGGTTTGGGGAGAAACTCTCCCTACACCAGCCCCCCTCCCCCCTACCACAACCCAGACAGCTTGCTCTTTGGGTTGGTTGGATGATGTTTAATCAAGGATAATAAACCAACTTAGATAGCTTATCAAATGTCAACTTTAATTTCATCCATGTTGGGATATAATAAAGCTTGTTAAAGACATTAACATTTCAAGATTACATGTATACGAGTGAACGTCAACGTTTTTGCTGGTTATGCAGAGCATTTTATGCAACTATTTTACAAATGACAACGCACGACAGATAACAAAAAGGCAATTTAAGCATTTCATTGAACACATATCTACATATTTCACGCAATTTGTGTTACTTCTTCATGTGAATATACTCTTAAGAGTGTTATGGATATAATAATACTTATAAATTTTATATTGTTATTCTGTGATTCTGTAATTTATAACAATAACTTTGCATAATCGTAACTTTGCAGGTTATCACAAACTCTTACACCCTTACATTGCACATGTATCCTATTAACTATACATCTAGACCCCTTTTAAGGTCCAGCTACCCCACCCTTCAACAGATTCTTACGTCTACGAGTATGTTTTGGTGGGTTGCAAAGCCCAGAAATTTGAGGGTTTGTATAATTTAAAACTACACTGTAATGAACGCTATCAAACTGAACCATCAAGACTGCAATAACGGTATTATGGTTTATGTTCTGGACAAAAGAATGACTGCCTCAAATGCGAGGAAAACTAATTCCTCACTCAGTCAAGCCAGGTCAAACATAACCGCCAAGATTCCATAAATAAAGTTATTTTTTGCAAGTTGAATCCATTATAAGTTATAATTCTATAGTTTTGAGATTCAACTCTGCGTTCCTCCATGCGTAATGAGCAATGAATTCACATGAGGTAGTTATGTCTATTCAGCGCCAGCTCAGTTTTCTATTTGATATAAACATCTTCAGAGTAATTTTATCTATTCAAAGATTTTTCAATCTGACAAAATACTGGAAAGCTTGAAGCCAAAATTTTACCACTCATTATGCATGTAAGAATGCAGATTTGTCTTCAATAGCGGTTTAATTTTTCAAACAACTGATTAATTAAAGGAATCTTTGAGGGTATACTTGACCTGTGATGACTCTTACACAAAGCTGTTATTAGTAGAGTCCTTCAATGAGGATAAAGGTTGCACAAAAGGCTAATAAGAAGAAAGGCCTCCTTTACAGAGGATTTACGGCTCATCATCACCAGCACAATTGCAATTTTAGGGCCTTTATGCAGACTAAAAGCCACCCATGTTTCAAAATAGCACATCTTTGAGCTTTAACTTATGCCACTGAGCCAGCTATAGTTCCATATGGATGGGCAAACTTTTCATCCATTAGTAAGTTCAACAGTACAATCACATCATTCTTGAATTGCTTAAGAGTGCTGGGTTGAGAAGGCTCAGAACCTTGCACATCACTTCCTTCACTGTCTGAATGATTGCTGGTTTGACGGTTAAGGTTGCTGCTACTATCAGAGGAGTGGACAGATCTGAACTTCTCTGCAGCATCAAAAGCCTCTAGAAATTGACTGTTGCCATAGTTTTCTTGGTCTGAGGGTGGAGCCCTACCCCAAGCACCTTCCAGAGTTTCAACATCAGAATGGCAGGGAAATTCTTGAAAACCTGGTGGTCCTAGTGATCTCCAGAAACTGTTTGTGTTTTCGGCCAATGCACTCTCTGGAATCTCTGCACCCATAAACTGTGGGGTTAAGGGTGAAAACCAGAATTCATCAGCATCTATGTCATCAAAATCAACTTCATTACTTGAAATGCTGTTGTCAGACTGGGTAGGAGTCTGTAAGTAGCAGATATCGTCAACTTTTTTGTCATCTTCGACATCACTCTCTTCATCACTAGCAACATAATCACTAATGTCATCAGCCGATGGAAATGAAGTGGAAATATCACACCACTGCAATGTCTCTAGCTGATCTGTAACCTTTTCTGAAGCCTCTCGAAGTTGGTTTTGCATGTCTTCTGTCAGACTCACTGAAGCATCAAACCAACCTGGTAAAATAAAAATCAATAAAAATTGTTATTTTTTATCTCAACTGTAAAAACCAGACTGATTTCACCAATGAGAAGTAATTTTGTTTAAGGGGAGGGGAGGCTGAAATGTGCATGCAAATAGGGTGTGGTGAGATTTTGACGGTGTACACATAAGAAGGAAAGTTGTACCATCAGAAGTGATCCAAATCAGGTGGGTCTGGGCATGCTCCTCCGGAAAAATTTTTAACTTTAGGGGCTTGGAAATGTCATTTCCTGAGCTTTCCACAGGACATCTTCATTAAATAAGCACAAACGAAAATGCAATAGTTAGTTGTTAGTTAGTTGGTCAGATACAGTTAGCTGACAGTGTTGATAAAAAAAGGGTAAAAAGTGACACCACCAAGGAGGTTACAAGCAAAGGGCAAGATGTCTACCCTTTAGATGGGCAAAGACACTGATAAGCAAAAAATTTATCAGTCTTCCCGACTTAGTGATAAAAATGCTTCCAGGAAACAAAACAAATATTTTTTTACAGATAATTTTCAGTTGTACACACAGATTTATGTTCACATTGTTGTGAACAAGGGAAGATGTTTGCCTGGGGAATATTAGGCTTTAATCACCAAATCTCTTACTAACACAAACATGGCAGCAAACTGCAACCACAAGGATTGCAGGCTCATACAATTAAGGCAAATGACACTACATATACAATACAACGAATCATAATGTAACACAATACATCACACAACTCTTCCAGTGTTCAAGTGTTTCTACTTTCTAGCTTTAGTTTGCAATGTCATTTACACCTAATGATGCAAACGTCCAGCATGACACCCAAAGGAGGGCAGCAAAGGCTTTTGATATTGACCAACACAAAAAAATAACTGACAAAGTGTTTAACCAGACTTCGGTTTGTTTTTTAAACCTGTTTATAAATTAAAGTCAGTTAGGTGACTTAATATTCTAATGCCAATTTAACATGCCAAAAGGTTAGCTCAAAAAATTCCAGCATGAATTAATACTCTAGGTTAAGAATATTTAAACTGATGCTAGCAAGATCTTGCTTTTATCTTAACCATCTACAGAGCAAAATAACATCAGCAAGTTACAAAGCTAAAAGAAAAGACATATTTCTCACTGGACAAGACAGGGCTCAAAAGAATAATTATTGTTAAAACCTTTCAAAATGTAAGGGGTTTTGGCAAGTTGCAAGTCAAAATAAAATAGTGCTCAAGAATTTGGATGAAAAAAGAATTTTGTCTCAAAAAAGCTGTACATTGATTGAATACCATAAACTGCTGAATATAACCGCTCCCTGTTATAGACCCATCTACCTGTAAAAACAAAAAATACTCCAAATATACCCCCTCTTGTTTTGAGATGAATTAAACTTATTAGAAAGTTTTGCAGTTTATTTAAGAATCAATTAATGCACAACATATTTAGAACAGCATGACTGTAGCTTGTTTTGAAGCGCTTTCTCAATTCCGGTTATAAGAACAATCTATTAAAAGCCCCTTTATTTATAAACCCTCCTAAATCCCTTACAAAGATGTAAAAGCCCAGGGCTTATAGGCCGCAGTTTACGGTTTTTCAACCCGTTTTTCAACAAGTCCCCAACCTCAAAGACAGCTGCAAAATACTTATTGCCTGTAGGTTTACTATTTTTGTTTGTATAAAAAAATTTACTTGCAATGCCTTGCTAGTGAAGTAAGAATAAATTTAAGGTTTACAGCCAGGCTTGCCTTTTTAAGGGGTTCAGGTGCTTAACTGATTATGTAAACAAACAGCTAAAAGCAATAACAAAGATCACATACAAGACAACAGGATCTGCTACACATGGGCCACAGTAGAGGTATTTCATAAACAAGTTCTAATGTAAAAAGGATTTACTTTTTAGAAAACACTGCTAAGAATTTGATGGTACTGAAAAAACTGTAAACTAAAACTCCCAACAGCATGACGTAGGCTATTACCAACAATAGATACAAACATTCACTTTGTTAAGGTTACAACTATATTACTGGAGACAAAAGAACACATGGCTTCTCATCTTAATTTAACAAAAGCTTCTATCATTGTATTTCCTGTTTTTGGAAGGCAGGGAGCCAAAAAATTTACACCCCTTATGCATTTTTCCTAATTAATATTGCATTGCATTCTTCTGATTCCAAATAAGAGATTTTGTTTTCTATTTTGGAACCAGGTGTCAACACCAGAGGGAACAAAGCAGAACACATTTTTGCCCAAAGGCCATTTCCTTTCCCAACATTTTCTTAGTATCTGAAAGGCTGTTAATTATGTATCAAACTAAGAAAAAGACTCTGTTATCTTTGTGTCAAGCGATAATCAGATCTAGACCTTTTAATACCATCAACATAATAGTGCAGATTTAAGAATTACCTTTGGTGTCACCACATATAAACCTGTTATCATCTTTGCTAAAATGCCAAAGGTTTATATAAATGTATACCAAAACCTTAGACCATGAGTTTATTCATTCAATGTTTATACAGCCGTTGAAAAAATGGGCCAAAACTCTTATCTTATGGAATCTTAACCACATAAACTGAAAAGGTAATTAACAAGCTAATATAACACATCAAATCTAGAGCTGTTTTTTGGAACATTCCTTTTGAAACACCCAGCATAGAGTGATTTGGGTTAGTTTCCAATTATTTTACTATTTATTTAGAACCCATCTCACAAAATCCTATGACTTTCGAGCGAAGAAAGATTACACCTGAAAATTATTCCCTTAGGGCTGAGCCCAATGTGTTAACTGAGCTAAGCTAATCACTTGAATACTTAAGGTTCAAAGGATCAAATGATTTTCAAAAGATCAAACTTCAAGCTTAAATGCACACAAAGATTCTCATGCAATCAAAAGCATTAGGAATTTCCACCTTGCAAAATAACACTATGTCCATAAAAATCTTTACAAATATACTTTTCCTAAAAGTCATCTTTGAACATCATCAATAAAGAGAATTTTCAGCTACAAATTATGAGCGTGAGTTGTTCATTCTAGAACTGTAATATTAATACAATGCATGGGTGAACAACATTTTAACAGGAAATTAGGGGCTTATATTTGCATTTTTTATAATGTCTCATTAGTGCACAAATTGCACTTAACATAATTTTGAAGTGTTCGAAAAAGATGGAACATCTAGAGAATAGATTGTGTCTAAACGTAAGGGGAGTAGGTAAAAATACGTCATTTCCAAATTACACAGGACCCTAACTTTGGTTCATCTCTTTGAAATTATGTAGTTGAAGTGGAACCTATAACTTTACAAATTATTATTATTATTATTTTTCAGTGGTAAAAAGAATGAAAGGGAAGATGACACATTATACATGAAATCTTTCTAAATTTTGCTTACCATTTAAATCCTTGAGATGCAACACTGCTCTAGTAGTGTTGTGGATCAAGTGTAAAGCCCAAATTGATGAATCCTCCATACTGGCATAAACACGTGCATTAATGTTCATAAGGCACACCAGACGATATAAGGCCAGGCAACTTGGAATGGGTTCTATGCCAAAGCCATGGTCTCTAAGGGTGTCATGGTTCCCACCAAATGCCGCAACCCCTTGCCGCCACAAATCAGAGAAGTCGGGTATACAGTCATGGAAAATCCATGAACTGTTGTTTTCAACAAAAGTGAGAAAGAGATGCGGGGCATCATTATTGTTTACCACCGTCCACATGCCAGCTACCTCAGCTTGGATTTTATTTTGCTCCTCAACATCCCAATGCTTACTGCTGATAAAATCTTCACAGTTTGCCACGTACCCGGTGTCAAACCCACCATCTGATTCCTCATCACTGTCAGTGGTGCTGCTGGCAATTTTGTGTATGCCTTTGACATCTCTCTTGTCAAATGCAAAATTACCAATATTTCTTAATGGTGAGCGTGGGCTTGTCAAACTGCAGCTAGAAAGTGAAGATGCAGCAGAGTTGCATCTACTTCCAAGAAGTTTCGGAATGGGGATGTGCATCTCCTTAGCAACGCTAACACCCATGGGGTGCATAAGAAAGTTAGGGTGGGTAAGAATGGTCAAAAGTTCCAACGCATCTTCTCTAAAAGCTACTGATGTTGGACTCCCTTTGGAAAGGGTACACGACATGGCGGCCTTCCAATCGTACACTTCAAAATGTATCCCTGTAGCTCTGTGCTTGAGACGATACCGCCATATACGGTAATAAGTCAAGCCAGTTTCTTCAGTCACGTAGGCGCGGAAGAGACAAAGCCATCGGAACATCACTAAGCAGCTAGGGATAACTTGGTAAGGTCGAATGAATCTCGCAGGAGTTGTTGTCTTCATCTTACAGCTGAACAAGTCATCAATGTATTCTCTTCTCTTGTCGATGAAAGTCCACTTTAAATCATGTGTGTCAAAAAACAATTCAAAGTTCTTGTTAAATCCTGGCGTGTTAAATTCGTCTTCTTGGTCGAATATATCCGGTACGGACCACTTCATCATCGTTTCTGCCATGTGCAAAAACATATTTTCACGTAACTCAATTTCGGTCAACTCATCGCTTACGCGACAACAAATAAAGTATTTCATTTCATCGGGCGAGAAATGTCCCCTGAGAGTCAAATCCTGGTATGTATTCATCCAGTTGATGTGAGATAAAGACGCCTTTTCGTATAAAAACTTCTGCGAAGGCCATCGCAACAAAACGAGCCTTCGCCACAGCGAAGGAGTATTAGCGATGTTTCTCCATTGTTTACAGACCGAGGAAAGCCTTGTCAGAGACGCTGCATCGAGATATTCAAAAATATGAAGCAAAATTTCGTCTAAAAATACTGCCATTGCAAAAGAACAATGTTTACATTTACAAAATAAAATTGCGCGCCATTTTGCCTTTCACTATGGTCGCGTCGACTCGTTTGATTTGTTTCGTCACGAGGCATGCAGCTGTTTACTTCGCCACAACCGGAAGTAAGTTTCGAGCCAAAGAAAATGAGGCTACCGGAAACAGTTTTAATCGGATTATCTCGGGGAAGTTCGGAAGTCTTCGTCAATATTACGAAAAAGACAAGGTACTGCAGGCGCACAGGTTTGCCCAAAACAATTTTGAAACAGATTTTGAAGCGTGTGGTTCTAAACGTGGCATTCTCTGTGACTTTTGTTCCTTTTAATGGTAAGACTGAGTGACTAAGACAAGGACCTGTTTCCTTTCTGTGCGAGATTTTAAGAAGGTAAGCCAATAAATATGATTTGACAACTTGAAACTGTGATCATTTGTGGCCACTTGTAATGGGTGTACGTGGCAATTGTTTAATATATGGCTCGATCGTTCGAAAAATCGTTGTAACTTATCGTTAAGCTGTTTTACTGTCGGTTGTGCAGGTCTTTTTATTCGTTATCAACTCAGGTGTCTTAAAATTTTCCTGAGAATTTAAAACCAAATTAAATAATTTTTTATTGTAAGCATATTGTACAGAAATAAGCTTAAGCCCTAATCAAGTTTAGCTTAATATACAGCTTAGTAGTATTTGATGTATATCAAGGTGCCTTGTTAAGTTCAATAGGGCAAAGACTGCACAATTTAGATCACAGTCAAACCTCCATGTGCGACCACCTCCAGTAAGCGAACTCCTCCTTTTCACGACAACCAATCCAAAGCAACAGAATTTCCTCCATCAAAAGCCCTATAACTAGAACTTCCTCTCATAACCCACTGTGACTCTTCTTGGCCGTTCGGTTTTGATAGTTTTCTATTATTTTTTAGCCTACTGGCTTTTATCCAGTGATGCTCTATGCTATCATCTGCGCAAGAATGAATGAATGAATGATTGAATGTAAGATCATTTCTATTGTTCTCATTTGTGCAGTAAGCTAAGTGTAACCTTCGGAGCCAAAGGGGCTGGGTTTGATACCTGCCATCTCCCATTTTTTTTTTTTTTTACTCTGTTTTATTAAGTGTTGCTATGAGAAGGAGGAATTTGATACTGATTGTTCTTAGGGCTTTTAAAGCATGCAACCACTAAATCCTCACATTTTGAGTGGTTGCTTATGGGATGATTGACTGTATTTGAATTGAATGGAAAGTCAATTTCAGTTAGACCAGATGAATGCATCACTGCTACCAGGGTCTGGAAGGGGTTCAAATGATCCGGGAATTGACTGGTAAACAAAGCGTGAATCAGACTCACTGTGACACGTGATTCCCTAACATTTTAGCCCGTGAATCGAGATTTCTGCTGAGAAAAGAGATGTAAAGTCATGAACATCAGGTAACGCCCCAACACTAGTATACATAAATTGTCTGTCAAGATATATGTAGTTCAAAATTAAGTAGGTCTTTTGTCATTGTTATTAACATAACTGAGTCCATTGGTATGTTCCGTACTTGACATCTCACAGGGCGCAGAGGAGTTATTTGTGACCTTGATTGTAGTAAAATTTTGCAGGTGATACAGTGAATCGCCTTTGTTTGCTGTTTACTGCACAGTCGAACTTGACTGATCAAACTGCCATGTGATCGTATTACTCAAACTTGGTAAAATATTATCTAATGCCCTGTGAGAACGAACGTCACCCACGACACATTTGGAGAGCTTTTCCAAGCAAGGCACAAATTACTCGTCTGCCAACATTTCTTTCAGCGGTTTTCGGGAGCATAGGAATTAATAGTGTGCCATGTTTGTTAACATGATCGCATGACATTTTGCTCGATTCTACAGGACCCTGCAGTAGTAAACACAAAAGCAATTCATGGTATAAACTGTAAAATTTAACTACAATCACGGCCACAAATAACTTCTCTGCTCCTGTGACCTCCCTGACTCGCGTGGTAACTGACATGAACTAAGAAGAAGAACTGTGACATGTTATCATCTGTCAAGGGCTCTGCCAATGAGAAGTTGCTTTTTGCAAAATGGGATAACAGCTAATTTGGTGGCACATGTTCACATACATGCAATGGCAAGCATCACTAGATCAGGAAGGGCTGTCACTTTGTCACATAGAGCCCTTTCATCATATTAAGTTAATGTTCAGTCATTAATAAATATGGTTATTTCTCATTTGAGATGTAGTTGAAATTTATGTGAAATATTGTACATAACATCTATATTAACTCAAACGTAATGACAAGTTTTTACATCCTAGACAACTCATTGACCATGAAGGTTAGGAGAACCAGATAAAAGAACAAAATTGTAGAGCTTCGATTTTATAACAAAACTTTCATTGCCTGTCAACTTTGTAGCCGTCCCCCACAAAAAAAGAGCAAAGAATCGCCAGTTTGATCACCATACTTTTTGTTTCCTACCAATCAGGGGGTCATTTAAGATGAACTCTTGCCCATAGTAGTCTGGCAACCACTAAGAATCATTGATGGACTTGATCAGTTCATTATCCAATCACGTGATTTGTGAAATGTTTCTAAAAGGTTACGTGACTCGTGAATGTACAAAAAATTAACCGGTGATTCATGATCCAGACCCCCCCTTCCAGTCCCTGTGTTACTGCCGTAAGAGCTGTCCAGTAGCATGAGACTAGTGAAGCATCCCACTACTGACTGACTTGGCTAGTGTATTTCCCCTGAAGTTGCCCATCCACCATTCTTTCAGCTTTGTTTGTTTTGACGAAAAGGCAAAGGGTTTGACTTACACTACAAAGAATACAACCCTCTTTAAACTGAAAAAAATGGCATGAGTTTGTTGTTGGTTCTTGCCCTTAGTGAGCCTGCAAGCCACCTCTCCATTTGGAGGATATAGTGAGAAGTAATACACAAGCAGCACGTGAAAACAGAGTGAGGGGTGGGGGGAGAATGGAAGGAAGAGTTATCCTTCTCCCCCACCCCTTGCAGCTCCACAACTCACTAACACATTTTCTTACTGAGCTCGCGATTTGAAATTGAGAGCTTTCTCACAGGGTAACCCTTTCTCCAAGACATTTTTCTCCAGATACTCTAGTTCTCCCTTTATCACAAAAACAATATCACCAAAGTAATTTCAGTTAGATTCTAGTTATTGAATCCAACTGGAATGGTCAACAAAACACATTTTTTGGATGGGCTACATGTAAATCGCTATTTTTTATTTATTTAATCATTTTAATTGTCAAAGAATAAATCAATTTATTTGTTGTTTTCATTCTTTTTTTAGGAATCTTTCTTTCAAAGGCTTATTTTGGGCTTCATAGTAGGAGGAATCCAATAAAAATATGCTTGTGATTGCATACGTCTCATTTGGCATTCTTTCAGGCCTCTGTGCTCTGTTTCACTTCAAATGCAAGACAGGACAAGCTGACGAAATGACGATAGCTAACCCCAACTTTGTAGCTTTCCAAAACAGTTACTTTAAGGTTTACTTTCCAGCATTAATGGCAGAATGGCTTCAGGGACCGTACTTGTACAAGCTATATAGCCACTACGGCTTCATTGACACACAGATTGCGATCATATATGTGTGTGGCTTTGCTTCAAGTGTTGTGTTTGGAACATCTGCTGGATATTTTGCTAGTGCCTTTGGGCGTAAAAAGGCTTGCGTAGTCTTCACCTTATTGTACTCTTTATGCTGTATAACTAAGCTGTCAAGAAATTATGCTATTTTGATATTTGGGAGAGTTTTAGGTGGCATCTCTACATCATTGTTATTCACAGCCTTTGACGCATGGTACTTGTATGAACACACCCAAACGCACAGCTTTCCAAGTGAATGGGTTGCGGCAACATTTGCCAAAGCAACACTCTACAACAGTGTGATCTCCGTAGTGGCAGGGATTCTGGCAAATACTATAGCTGAATGGATGAGATTTGGTCCTGTCGCGCCTTTTGTTCTGGCGATACCATTTCTTATAACTGCTGGAATTTTAATTCAGTTCACATGGGATGAAAACTATGGTGGGAAACAACTCAAAGTTATTCAGCCCTGTATGGAGAGCCTTCGTTACATTGTAACCAACAACAGAGTCATGTTGATAGGAACTGTTACCTCTCTTTTTGAAAGTGCCATGTACATTTTTGTATTTTTGTGGACACCAGTGCTGGACAGAGCCCATCATTACCCTCCATTGGGAATTGTCTTCTCCTGTTTTATGTTATGTGTGACACTGGGCAGTTTTTTGTTCAACTTTACAATTAAACATGGAATTCGACCATCTAGTGTAGTCATTTTAACTGTGATTGTTGCATCATTGGCCAACATTGGAGCGGCGTTTGCTAGTGCCAATCATCCACGGACATCGTTTTTGATGTTTGTTATCTTGGAGCTGGCTTGTGGGGTCTACTTCCCAGCAATGGGTTGGCTGCGGCAAAGAATACTTCCCGAAGCTCACCATGCAGGTATCATAAACTGGTTCAGAGTTCCACTGAATGCAATTGCCGCAGTTGTTTTGATGTTGCTCCATGACACACATAGCAGTCATGGAATATCTGCTATTTTTGCTCTTTGTTCAATACTGTTGGCTATTGCAGGAATTGCTGCTGTTAGACTTTTTGTTTTGACAAGAAATGATGATAACTTGAAAATTATTCATGATGAGGAAGAGGGACTGTCATAACACAATTCACGGAGGAGCAGAAGTTACTTAACCCTTTAAGCCCCAATACCCACATACAAATTCTCCAAACTGCTCTCTATACATTTCCATAAAGAATTAAAGTAAAGAGAGTTTGTAAAAGATCAAGGCATATTCTCTTTGGTGATCGTTTTATTAATTCTCAAAACCATTTCTCTTGACAATCTATGGATATCCTTAGGAGAAAATTGATGTTGATCATTATTGGGACTTAAAGGGTTCATACCGAAGTGATGTACACCTACAGTCAAACCCTTCTTTGCAGACACCTGATTAATACGGAAACCTCATTATTACGGACAGTTTGCTTTGTTCCTGGGGAAAGAAAGCCCACAAAAATGTACGGTTACATTTTCTCTAAATTCAACC